GGGAGGAGGCGGAAACTTTTTTTCCCTTTTCTCAATAAAAAAAAATAAAATAAAAAACTGCTCAGCCTAGTAAAAAAAAAAAAAAAAGAAAAGGGCTCATGGGTACCTATACCTGCCTAAGGATTATACATAAAGATTGATGGGGGAGGGAGAGACATTTTCTTCAGTCATGTAGACATTGGTAAAGTGCCCCTGCCAAAGGGCAAACAAACCCTTACCCATACCCTTATAAGAACCCAGTGAAAGCTACTGGGTTGAAAAACAAAACAAAACAAAAAACCATGAAAGCAGAAGGGGAACAGGTTGGGAAGAGGAACTGGGGGTGAGGGACAAAGGGTAATGGGAATACTACATACATAATGAAAATGCTATAGTGAAACCCATTATGTATACTTAATAGATGCTAGCTAAAACATCAAAACATTAAAAAAGAAACAATATTAAGAAAAAGATGATTAAATGAAACAGGTACCTGTTATATTTATTTAAACAAGCATGAAAGCAAAAATAAGATTAGAAAATCAGTATAGATCTGTTACAGGAAAAACATACAAACTATAAAAACAAAAAAACCCACTCTTCATAGGAACCCCAGAAATATATAGTAAAGAATGCCACTGATGTATTACTTGAAATGATAATGGTCACATTTTTCAATAAATGAAAAACTTCAAGTACTAATTTAAGCATCATCAAGCCAAATAAACACCATATCTAACCTTATTATGACATAAAACTGTCAAACACCAAAGACAGAGAATATGAAGTTGAAAAAAAAAAACCACATTCAAACAAGGTTGTCACCTAATAAGATTAATGCCTAATTGTGAAAATGTGGACCTGAAGAAAATGGATGACAACCTTAAAGTATGAACAAAAATATGTACAACCTAATTTACACTCCAAATACAAGGCCAAAGGTATTTTTTTTTCTTTTCTTGAGATGGGGATCTCTCTATCACGTGACTCTGGCTGTCCTGGAATTGTAGACCAGACTGACCTCAATCTCACAGGTCCACCTGCCTCTGTCTCGAGAGTGCTGAGATTAAAGGCATGCACCACACACAGCCTTCAAATGTATACAACAAAAAAGTCAGGGAAAAAAAAATCTAAAAGATAATACTGCACGCTTCAGGGGTTACCAAACTATACACAGCTTGTGTCATGATACCCCCGGCTGTTTCTGAACTCTGGATCTTTCTTCCTTAGCCTCCCAAGTGTTGGCATTACAAGATTTATGGTACCATGACCAGCAGGGTGCCTTTTTAAAAATAGGTTTTACCAGCTCACCACCACACCCATCTTACACATCTTTCACACAAACAAGGCAGAGCTAAGTAGCTGGTACAGACACCACAGCCCAAAATACTGCTCCTCGAAAACTAAGGTTAGCTGTTTAACAGACCAATGGAAACAAACAACCCAGAGATGACCAACTCCCATACGAGACAAGTGATCTTTTCAAGATGTTGTTTGGGAGGCAGTGGGGGGTAAACACGAACTACCTAAAAGATGAAACAAAGCATAAAATAACAGGCCATCACCTTTACTATGTCAGATGAAGATTTACAAAACAAAAACACAAAGCACAAAGCTAAATTTCAAAATGGATCTCTACTTACAGAGAGTGGAAGGCAAGTCACAGTCCAAGGGAAAGAACTCAAGCCCGTAAATATATAAAGTTAAAAAAAAAAATCCTACCTGATGACATTTATTTATTTATTTATTTATTTCAACAGCCATAAGAAGAACACTTGGGAAAATCAGGAATCTACCACAGGCACAGGCGTAGCACAGTACTGGAGGGAGACTGATTCTAGGATCTACCGCAGATATCCAAACCTATGGATGCTCAAGTCCTTGCCTAAAAGACCAGACTATCTGCATATAACCTCCACTTCTTGTACATTTTAAATTACCTCTACAACACTGTGTAAATACGCAACATTATAAAAACAGTTTATATTCTGTTCTTTGGAGAATGGCAAGAAAAAAAGCCAAATACAAATTAAATCTATAATAAGATACAATTATACCCCCACCATAATGACAAACTTGTCAAATGGACAATGCAAAACAACAAAGACCTCAGTAGCCACTGTTGGGATCATAAATTGAGCACACGTACTTTATAGGGTGCAGCACTTGTTAAAGTGAACCTGCAGGCTTGTGCCGAATAGGAAAGTCCCGTGTCCTTTAATGAAGTAGCAGCAACAAGAACATCACAGCAGCAATCTTCATGATGAACCCAAAGTGAAACAACCCAAATGACCTACACGGTGCCCACAGGGGAGCAGGTAAATTATAACTGTCAGAGAACAGAACTGCTGCCCAGCAGTGATGGCCTGAACCAGGCTCACAGACTGTACACTCAGCAAAATAAGCAAGACAGAGGAGCTCATAGTCTACAGTTGTATGAAACAGGATGGGGGTTTAACACCGAAAGGTAAGACTAACAGGAGACACAGGATAATTCTGGGTACTGGTAATAACCTGAGTTTTCACTTCTGGTAGAAACCTGGCTGCATTCCCTTAAGATGCTCATTAGCCTCTTCACATTTTATGTATTTTTCTTCAGTAAAAAGCAAAATAAAGAAAAGAGGAAGAGGGTGGGAGCCCATGTGTGATTCAGTTTACATCTGGAGTCATTTCTGACTTAAAGTTAAAAGCTCTGCTTTTTCCTATAATCTTGAGGGCTGTGACAGACTTCTGATTTAGCCCGTGAGAAAAGAGCACTCTATCTAGTAGAGTCTACTGCTGACGACAAACCTCAGGAACCTCAAGAAAGAAAGTGAGGCTGCTTACAAGCAGCAAGCACATGCTGAGGGGAGGCTGCTCACTCAAGGACAGGAATGGTCCTGTGACTAGATACTGACCGACCGTCTGTGCTGTGCTTTGTTCTGCTTCTGTATATAAGCAAGTTCTGAAATAAACACTGGGCTGTTTGGCTGCTTCGGCATGACCAGACAGACCTCCCAATTCTATCCTGTCTATTGTTTCTTCTGACTTTTCTTTGGCCTCGAGGATCCCCTATCCAGGAACCCTAGCTGACCTTGTAGGAGTGGGCTCCTACAGAAGAGTGGGAAGGGAGGGAAGGAAAGGGCAGGAAGGCTGGCCTTATGGGTAATGATGGCTATCACTGAGTAGTTACTGCCTGTATTTGGGCAGGGGAAGAATTTGACATTTTGTGCTGTGGGATGTCTTTCTGTACGCTGTTACTATGTCTTGATCTCATTGGTTGATACATAAAGTTGCTTTGGCCTATGGCAAGGCAGGATAGAGCCAGGCAGGAAATCCAAGCAGAGATACAGGAAAAGAAGGGCGGAATCTGGAAGATGCCATCCATCCATCCAAAGAACAACATGCCAGCAGACCAGTAATGCCATGGCTACGTGGCAATACACAGATTAATAAAAACGGATTAATTTAAGATGTAAGAGCTAGCAGGCAATGAGCCTGAGCCATCAGCTAAACATTTATAATTAACATTAAGCCTCAGAGTAGTTATTCAGGAACTGGTGGGCAGGATAGAAATCTCCATTTACGATTTTGTAACATTTTCTTGGCCCTGCAGGATTAGTGGAAAAATGGAAGTATTAAGAGACCCCCAAACTACTGTAATAATCCTAGGATCCAACCTGCCTGGTAACTGGATTTACCACATATGATGGTAATACTTAATATATGGCAGGGAAGTCAAAGACAGCAGAGGACCACTTGACAGATGTGCTGACTGGACCTCATCTAGAGTGGAAACCAGAAAGAAGGAATGGCCAATGACCACTGTGAAACTCTGAGACCGGGTGACAGAACTTTGGCACAGATGGCAAAATTATAAACAGCTTAGATCTGCTGCCACTGAGGTACCAGGTCAGGTGTCTGTGAGGGAAGGCAGAGGGGAGCTCACAAAGCACTTGTCTGCCTCTTCACCATCACTTGACAATTACTAGTCAATATTCTTAGCTATATCTCCACATGTCTGTTTATTTGAAGAGAATCAAAGACTTGAAATCCATCCAGTAGGATCCCAAGTAAAACACGTGGCCCTGGTTGGCTGATCCCCGATCACGGCCGCCCCTCACCCCAGGAGAGCCGACGAGGCTCTTTCACTCACTCTAGCTTGCCGCCGCCGCTTCACTTCAGCCCTCAGCTCATCTCGCTGCTTCCGCAGTTCCTGAATCCTGGTTCTAAGAGAACTTTCCTTTGTGTGAACTGTCGGATCTTCAGACTTTTTCCTTGATCTGTTCATTTGAGCCTCTAGTCTTTCCAGGTGAGCTAGAACACCTAGGGGGAAAAAAAATTAAAAAAAAATAAACTTCACCATTGGACAAGGACAAGGGTTTAACTCTGGCAAAAATGCATACTCTAAGAAGTAACAGGTTTTTTTGTGTGTGTGCTAAACAAAGGGCTATGTCATCTTACAGGTTACAGTCCATCATGAAGGAGACAGAGAAGCTCAGGCAGGAACTGGAGCAGATTGAGGAACACTTGCTCAGTTTGCTTTCTTATATAACCCAGAATCATCTGCCGTGTGTGTGTGTGTGTGTGTGTGTGTGTGTGTGTGTGTGTGTGTAGGACCTCAGGGTAGGAACTGAAGCAGAGACGGTGGAGGAACACACTTCCTGACTGGCTTCCTCCACCTCTTCAGCTAGCGTTCCTACACAACCCAGGACCACCTGCGCAGGGGCGGTTCCACCCAGTGTGTTGGGCCCTCCTCCATCTGTTAGCAATCAAAATGTCCTAAAGAAATGCCCAGGGACCAAGCTAATGAGGTTAATTTCTCCACTGAGGTTCCCTCTTCACAGGTGTATCAAGATGACAACCAAATCAGCCGTCATAATAGATGTCTCATTTATCTAGGATCTGAGAGCCAGCTAAACTGTTAAGAAAATGAACTGAGGGCAGGTGCCTTTCCTATTTATTGAGACAGGATCTCTCCTACATGGCTAGTCTTGGACTCACAGACAGTCACCTCACCTGCCTCTACCCAGAGTGCTGGTATTATGGCTCTGCCATAAATTTTATAAAACCAGAGGACCAAACAACCAAAGCAGAGACCACCAGCCTCTCTGCTGAACTCTGGTGTAAAAGCCCTCCCTAAGCGGGATGCTCGTTTACAGAGAACAAGTGACTGGTTTGTCAGCTGCTTGCTTTGTAGGCACCACCACTTCATCTAAGCCTGCTGAACGCAGAAACACATCCACGGGGTGCAAAAGGACGATTCTCAATTGCTTCACCACAAACAAGACCCAGTATCTACTTTGCAAGGATTTTGGAGACAGCGGTTTGGCAAGAGGGTCGCGACCCACAGGTTGAGAACTATGGCTTACTTGTGTGTGCAGAACAGTTTTAACACAGAAAGTCGCCAGACTTACTTTTGGTTTTGAAGTAACAATTTAAACCCGCATGTCGTTTATTATCTCACATTAATTAAAAAAAATAAAAGAAAGGAGGAAGAAACCGAATGTGTCTAAATCATAGTATTTACAAAGACAGAGCCCTGAATCAAACCCATAGCTCATCGACAAAGTTACCGCCCCACAGCGGCCCCTCCTCCGTCACAAGGTCTGGAAAGAGAAACAGCGGTACCGGGAAGGCCAACCCTCTCAATACCTCCTTTGCTCTCCCCGCCTTGACACAAAGTATTCGCAGACGCCATCTCTTGAGCTCAGGTGCTTTTCCAAAGCTGGCCGGCCAGGGCAAGTTTAATACGGACCCAAACGTCCTTGACTGTAAACAGGAAAAGACAATCATCCCTCGCACTTGGAGAAACCCTGACTGTCCCGGGGTAGACGAGGTGTCCCCGCCCGCCTCCCTGGCCAAGAACTTGTCAGACGCATCCACGCCTACCTCACCGCCACGGCCGCTCGGCTGCAGCCGGGCTTCCCCCGAGCACCGCAGGATCTGTGCAGGACGGCGAAGCCGGCTACCCGGGTCCTGCTTTCTCTCTCTCTCTCTCTTTCCCTGCCTCTGTCTCCCGAGTGCTGGGATTAAGGGCGTGCGCTACCCGGTTTGCTTTCTCTTCAGAGCGAACTCACTCTGGTTCCAGTTTAAGAATTCCCGCCGAGGGCGTCTTCGAAAACGCCAACCCCAGCATGCTTTGCGCTTCCGCCGTACAAAAACATGGCAGCGCCCACGGCTCCACCCTAATCCCAGCATGCACCGCGGAGTGGGTCCGGCCATTCAGAGGGTCAGGAAGATGGCAAGCTCCGGGGCGGAGCCGCAGATCCTCGTACAGTACTTAGTGTTACGAAAGGATCTATCTCAGGCTCCTTTCTCCTGGCCCACGGGCGCACTGGTAGCGCAGGCTTGTCACGCCGCCACCGCAGCCTTGCACCTTCACCGAGAACATCCGCATACGGTGTCTTATCTCCGGGAGCTGGGGCGCATGCGCAAGGTGGTTCTCGAGGTGAGTCGTAGGCGTGTGCAGGAAGGAAGCTAAGGGATGGGCGTGCAGAGGCCGGAAGTAGTTCTACTCGGGCCCAAACCTTGACTTCCGGGAGTCTGTGCATCCAGACTGTTGGAGGGATCTTTAAGAGTTTGGGGTGTGTTCTGCAGCGTGAGCTGCTACGCAATGACTCTTCCTCTGGGCAGGGCATGACTGTGAAGAGCGGACATAGACCCCGTTGTCACAGGCGTCTCAGCACCTTGGATCACCAGAAACTGGTTCCCGTGTCCTTTAGGTCCCAGGGAGGGCGGACCTGGGGAAGCGCGGTCCTTCCTTTCTACCTGTGCACCAGTACGTTTTTTAAAGCTGTGCCTCAAAGCACCACTGCCTTAATAAACATGGTTAGCCAGGGAAATCGAGGCCGTTTTGTTAAGGAGAAAAACACTGAGCTGGGAAAAGGCATATGCTTTTCCGAAGTGCCGAGTCTCATGACTGTCATTTACATAGCACCTGTTTCTCTAGAGAGACAATCGGGCAGGAAAACACTGTCGGGGTGAGACTAGACGAACAAGGGCCAAAGGGACCATCGTGCCAACCGACCTATTTACAGCTGCTCTCAGCTTTCTGGGGGGTGCTGTCCCATCGATATAGGTGACTTACACGCCTACTGGATTAATTTGAAATTTTAAAAAAGATGCTTAAATTATGTGTACGTGTGTTTGTGTGGGGGTATATGCACACGAGCGCAGGTATGCTTGGAAGTCAGAAGAAGGTGTCGGACCTTCTGGAGCTGTAGTTACAGGCAGCGTGAGCAACCAGATTTCAGAAAGTTGTGTTTCCACCCAGGTCAAAGGTTATCCTCAATGTGCATGCCATAATATTCTAGTTTTCTTTTTGCTGCTGGGAGAAACACCATGACCAAAAAGCAACTTGGAGAGGAAAGGGCTTGTTACATCTTAGAGGTTACATCCATCCTCTGGGGAAGCCAAAGCAGGAACTCGAGGCAGGAGCTTGATGCAGAAGCCACAGAGGAGCACTGCGTACTGGCTTGCGCCCCTTATTTTCTCAGCTACTGTACTTACACAGTTAAGGCCCACTCACCTAGGCACTGCCCACAGTGGACTGAGCCCTCCCGTATCACATAGTTGAGAGATGTGTCCTGCTTCAACACTAGGCTTGGGGCCTGAGGGGATGAGAGAGCGAGAAGGAAGCTACACATAATTCTAGAAACACTCCTGGGGTTGGAGAGATGGCTCAGAGGTTAAGAGCACTGACTGCTCTTCCAGAGGTCCTGAGTTCAGTTTCCAGCAACCACATGGTGGCTCACAACCATCTGTAATGAGATCTGGTGCCCTCTCCTTGACTGTAGGCATACAAGCAGACAGAATACATAATAAATAAATAAATAAATAAATAAATAAATAAATAATTCCTTGCCTACTGAAAAAAATCCTCCTGGTTGTCATCCAAGTGAGAGCTGGCTGAAGGATGAGGGCGAGCTGCTCTGGGAGCCAGCTGTAAAGAACCGAGAAACTACAGCGCAGAATTCAAGAGGGAAGAGAAAATTGCATTTTATTAATAGACTATTAAGCCTCCTTCTCTGCCCCCTTCCAGCCATTCTGTAAGATCCTAAAGAGTGGAAATAGCAAACCAGAGCATGAAACTGTTGCTAGGCAGTTCTTCTGTAGAGGCACGTCTCCAGTTTCAGATCCCCCTGCACCCTTTTGTGCACCTTCTGACACTTCCTAAATGGGCCATGCAGTCTGGGTGTTGTGTTCTGTAACTTGCAGGCTGCTGATGAGACCACCTTGAAGGAGCTGGCGGTGACTCTGCAGCAGCAGAACATTGACCACATGCTATGGCTTGAGCAGCCAGAGAACATCGCCACCTGCATCGCCCTCAGGCCATACCCCAAGGAAGAAGTGAGCCAGCATTTGAAGAAGTTCCGATTGTTCAAGTGACTGCATTCTGGCAGAATTGGATGTCAAATGCCCTCCATCCTGAAGCATTGTGGACTTCTTTCAGTTACTGTGCTCCTCCCTTCCAGTTATGATGGTTTAAGAGCCAGCACAGGTTCAGATTAAAGCCATCGTTAGCTAGTACCTTCTATTGTCATTATTATCGTCACCAGATTCAAGCGAGGGAAGCTGGTAAGCAGCGATGTCGTCTGCGGGTCATTACTCAAGCAGATTTTTTTTTTGGTTAGGAGTATTAGACTTCTAATCACCCAGGTTTAAGTGTTGCCTTTGAGTTCTTTACCTCTCCCATCCCCTCCTGCTTCCCATTACTGGCTTGCAATCTCTAGTGCAGTAATAGACACTTCCTATTCTTCCCCTCTTTGCTGCCTCATGAATTCAGTTAAACACTCACAGCCAAAAATTGTTCCCTTCTCCAAACATGTATACACATAGGACACTGTTCAAAATATTTCTGTTAACGTGTACACGACAATAGAAATTAATTGAGCGTTTGGGAAGTCGAGTTTATATGACATAATCTGTTCAGTAGATACCTCTTACGTGAGAGAGAAAAACCAGGAGTGGTGGCTCACGCTGGTAATCCCTGCGCTTGGGAGGCTGGGGCAGGGGAGTTGACTTGAGTTCAACGCCATTCTGTGCTACTGAGCAAGACCCTGTCTCAGAAAAGCTGAAAATATTCAGGTGAGTGAATTGGTCATTGCCCTCTTCCTGTAAAACGTGTGGTAATTATCCTACAAAGAGAGAAGACTTGCTTTGGCTGGCTGTTTCGGAGGTCCCAGGAGAAGACCAGGCAGACTCGTGGAGCTAGGTGGCATTTCTGGATGGCAAAGGCAAGCGACAAGGTGGTGAGGCCTGCTTGACCACTCAGCCAGGAAGCAGAAAGAGAACAAGGAAGAGGCTGGTGCACCACAGTCCTTCAGACTGCCCATGAAGTCCTGTCTTGTGAAGGCGGCACTGCCTTCCATTAGGGGCACTCTAGACCAAATAGTCGTGTTAGGATTCAGGCATGATGCTGGCCCCTGTCACCTGGCAGGATGCATTCAGGCAGTACTCTGGCCAGCCCAGGGTCCTATGGCTGCTCTCCACTACAGTCACCACATAATCTGTCTGCAGGTGAAATGGTTCCTTTAAGAGACAAGCTCCACCCACTCCTCTTTCCCACTTTAGTCTGAGAGACAGGCAGGTCCTTGCCTCTCTTTCTCTCTGCATCTATCTCTTTCCTCCTCCCTCCCCCCCCCCCACTCCCTTTATCTCAATAAAACTCCCACGTATGCTCTGCTTGGTGTGTCTATCTCTCACCCAGCGCATGGCCCTTTGGCCCACCAAGGTCCCTCTCCTGCTGTTTTACAACACTTAGCATTTGGACCTTTGGGTCATATTTCCTTAAGTGGGTCGAGAGTTCCGGGAGAAACTGGTAGTGCTGAGGGCAGCACCAGGCCCAGGAAAGCCAAATGAAGCTCAGGGTAAGAAAGCACCCAGAGCGGCATGAATCACAGAAAAGGCTTTGGCGGTTGGGCGCGCCCTGTGGACTCAGTGGAAACGGCTTTTTAAAGAGCATAAGGGTGAAAACTAGATGGTAGTGTCTTGAGACAAGAGTGGCAGGGGAGAGAAGCAGGAAATTCAAAGGGAAGAAAAGAAGGTGTTGTTTGAAGGGATGCTGGAAAGGTAAATTCTGGGTCTCGTATTGGGAGGAGGGGGACTGTTTGACATGTTTGAGTAAGGACACAGTGCTCACAGCCAGTCGCGAGGCTCTAACACCACCTTCTGGCCCCCATGGGCAACAGCACCACATGGTGCACAGACATATATGCAGGCAAACACACATAAAATAAATTTAAAAACTTTAATATATTTATTTTGTGTGTATGGGTTATTGTCTGCATGTATGCCTGTGTGCTGTGTGTGCCTTGTGCCCATAGAGGCCAGAAGGGGGTCTTTGAGTTACAGATGGCTGTGAGCCTGTGACTCCACTGGTGGCTGTCCCTCCAGGTGCAGGTGGGTCCGGTAGGGCCGGTGGTCGCTGGTACCATAATGGGGTGTTGGTGGGAGAGGGTGCTGCTGCCTGGTCGATGCCTGGCTGGCTGGGGAGGGGCCGGGGCTAGGGCCTAGGCAGCAGGGCTCTCCAGCTGGGATATCAGATATTCACCTGTCCCTCCTGGTGCAGGTGGGGTGGTGGGTTCAGTGGTCGCTGTTGCGGCGGGCAATGGTTCTTTCTTTCTTAAGGAGCTTCCCAAAAATATGGAATGTTTCAACCTCAGGATGAAACTGCTACGGAATACCTATTCTGGGAACTGAGGGTATAATGTGGTCATTTGGCAGAATGCTTCTAGAATGCACCGTCTCTGGGTTTGATTCCTAGCACCTTTAAATATGGCATGGTGGTGTACTGCTACCATGATAGACAATGCAGTGCCTGTCTGTGCAGGAGCTGGGATTGAAACAAAGGCCATTCGTCAGTTCCGGTTTTGCTTTCTCATTGGTATCTACTACTGATTAGATACCAGTTAGAGGTGTTTTGGAAAGGGACTACAAGCTGTTCAAGCACAGGAACACTGCAGCTACCTGGGAAATTGTTTAAATACATTCACATTAACTTCACATCCTCAAAGTCATATAAATTAGTACCTA